TTTGAACCTCATGGGCATGAGTTATTGACAGTGATAATTTGTCATAATATAAGACCAAAGATTACATGGCAGCATGGTTATGAGAATGAAAGAATGAAAATGCTTCATTACTCTCAGATTCCTTAGTGAGACAGGCCACTACATAATGATGGTAGTTGGCCAATGTCTTAATATCTGTCCTCTCTATCTCCCTGCACTCTCTCAATGGTCGTATGATTACTGTGTCTCTCCATTGAAATAAAGTGAGGGTAAGAAAAACTAAGAAATTTTCTATTGCTTATACAGTTTGTGATGCAGTATTGGGGTCTGAAGAATTGCCACTAGACTATGAGAAATCATCAACAACATGGAAGTTCTATGATACTGTGGGGGTGGGGGGATATCATACAGATGAAAGATAACAGTGAGCTTGATTCAGCTGACCTTTCACTTCTGCTGCATTTTAAGACAAAAAAGGAGAGAGAAAGGACATAAATCTAGTATAGCAAGTAAGGACAAAGCAAATTGGGGTAGCAATTTAAAAAGAAAACTTGAAAAAAGAAATATACAAAAAACTTTGTTTGTGCACTCACAGATATATTTTAAATGAAATACACTATCATTAATTAAGCATAATATTTAAATTAATATTTAAAATATAAGAGTAGACTAATTGAAATACAATTTCCCACAAAAAAATTTCTAACCAAAGCTGAAATACATGCATACACACTGATAAACTGAATTTTTACAAAGATTCGTAACAAAAAATAATAAAATTAATGAAAATTTGTGTTGATTTGTCAAACCATCCTCGGTAAGATGATAAACTACATCCAACATCCATCCTGGGTATGATGATAAACTACGTCCAACATCCATCCTGGGTAAGATGAACAACTATGTCCAATATTAAGGCCTCTGATCAGGAGGTTTTGAGAAGCGGGGAACCATCTCTTAATTGCTAGTGTTCCCAGGTCCACCTTGACCCGGCATGGTAGCCCAGCTTTGGGCAAATAGTTACCCCCCCCTCCAAATTGGGGTCAAACCACTATGAATGTGTAAAAATAGGTTTTATTACCAGAAATACTTTGTAAAAAATATTACCAGCAATAAAAATCTTGTCGACATTAAATAACCCATTTTGGTTGATATGCTATAAACCAAATCAAATGAAATCAAACCAAACCAAATCAAAGAGCAAATGGAAAGACATTTGGGGATACCCATGCATTATGATGCAAATGGACTGCAGGAAAATCAAGATGCTTAGATTGGAACACTTGTATTTTGGGATCTTGCAACAGATGACATAAAGAATGACTTATGTCTATAGACATAACACCCACTTGTTATATCGACTTTGTATGATACCAACATCCTGGATGATCCAGAGGTGGTGTTTACAACTCATGCATTTATGTGAGTGTTAGTGGAGTGATAATTGTCACGGTTTCATTATTTTGCAAAAGTTTATTTGCCTTTGTACCATTTCCAAAATATATTTTATTTGACCTGTGTATATATCTGGTTCTGGAGGCATAGCAAGAGGAAGATCAGTATAACTGTTATATACTATGAATACTAATGGGTATGTCCCAATCCTCATAAATACATTGGACACTATTGTAAGTAAGAGTAATATGCTGTCTAAGTAGTCCACCATTAGCAACAGTATACTGGCGAGTATTGTACTCATTCAGTAACCCTTTCTAGGTTATAACAATAACTTAAAATTGTTATTGCAAGTCATACATGATAATAATTTAAAATACATATTATGTATTTTGAAAAAGAAAAAAGGGAGGTAATGCATAGGTTGGTCTAAAATTAGAAACCCTACTGCACTGGTCAGAGCTCTGATGATGTGAACTGAGGGAGGGTGGTTTGAACCCTGTGGGCATTGGAACTCTGACAGTGTTGTATTGTTGTTTAATTTGGAAGAATGGAAGAGTGAAGATGTCTTGTTGCTCCCTATTGAAACAGGCCACTACGGGGTGATGGTTAGTTAACCAATCTGTTGACATCTGCCTTGTATATCTCTCTCTCCATTCCTCCTGGAAACAATGCTATATCTACTGTGGATTAAGAAAATTTTCCATCATTCATTCAGTTGGTGATGCAATATTGGTGTGTGAACATTTGCATTTGCTACAAAAAGCCAGAGATGAAAACCCCAGAGATCCCATTCCCATCTGCTATTTGACCCAGTCATTTAAGTAAATTTCATGTAAAGAATTATGACTCTTCACAGATTCCTTTTCTTTATCATCTGCGGATTTCCATGAGTTCTTGAGAAAGATACTGAACTTGTTTCCTCATGCTTTTTTCACTATCTTGAATTTTTGCAGTTTTTCTTCTCCTAAACTGGCTGCCACCCAAGGCTACAAAGTAACGTCTACTCTGCTTGTAAACTCTCACATTTGGGTTTAGGAAGAGATAGATTCATGTTTTTTTCCCATGGGTAATCATACAAAATTGAATGCAAAAGGCTGTGTTAGCTCACTGATTATGCTGGATGTGAGGGTTGATATAATGGATATTGGCTCAGAATGAGTTTGAATTCCAGTCTGGTTTGTTATATTCACTTTTGGACAAATACTGTTAAGAATGGTGTGAGTCCATCTCTTCTCCTGCCAGCTATGTGTATAAGAGTAGGACAGACTGTATTCTATAGCCTTGGTTGCCAACCAGTCTACTGCAGAAAGAATCTGCTGTCTACTGTTGGAAAATCTTCTGCCTAGTCAATCATAAATCAAAAGAGACATGATTGCCCAATCATGTATCACGTATGGCACTGAACAGACTGAACTTTAATGCTACCTTTTCATCTTGAATAACAACTTAAAATGTCAAAATCTTACTTCTCTCTTATAACAACCTTTACATGTAGCCTATGAAGTGTGTATTCAAATGTACAAACTATTATGGGACAGAAGTAGTATCATTTTTACTATTTTGGATATCAACATAGGGCTAATATCACTTTATTATGGAACAAAGGTAGTATCACTTATGGGACAGTTGCAATATGTCTTTATGATAGGACAGAGTACGTATTGAATCTTTTATGGTACAATTGTAGTAGTGGTTTATTATGAGACAATTATAGTATCACTTTACTACCAAACAGAGGTAGTATGACCTTATTATAGAACAAAGTTTTTATCACCTTATAGGACAGTTATAGTATCTCTTTATTATGACACAAAGGCAGTCTCATCTATTGGGACAGTTATAGTATCACTTTATTATAGGACAAAGGTAGTATCATCTTATTATGAGACAGTTATAATATCACGTTATTATGGAACAAAGGCAGTCTCATCTTATTATGGGACAGTTATAGTATCACTTTATTATGGGACAAAGGTAGTATCATCTTATTATGGAACAGTTGTAGTATCACTTTTTTATGGGTCAGAAATATTATCACTTTATTATGGGACAGAGTTAGTATCACTTGACTCTTGTAAATATTTATCACACTTTGCCTGGACTGACTGAAGACTATAATACCTGGATTCTCAGTAAGTATTCAATTTGTTGAGAATTCCTTCCAGGAACTGTTTACTAATGACCACTCTTCACTATAGAATTACTGGATTTTATGCAAGATTCTTGTAAAAGTTTAAATATTTTAACCAAGTCTTCCTCACAAGCGAAAACGAAAACTTATTTTCTCCTACACTGCTTTTGATAACTATTCAATTCCTTAATCAAAATCTATTCATCACATATCGAATTTGTAAATGGTTGTAACAAAACAGAATCCATTGGGGACTGGTTTATGAGCTAGTTTCAGCATGTCTAATAGTAGCAATTGTAGTAGCACTAGAAGTAGCCAATCATGTTGCAGTTGATAGTCACGGATTTTATTCTTTAAACTTTGTATAATTTCTGCTGTTGACAGCCAATAATTGATTTCAATGTTTGCACCAATCTTTTTCTTCTTTCGTGCAAATGAAAGCTAAAAATAGCATATGAAAATCTGAGAAAAATCCAGTTTATTCACTAAAAAAGATTAAGTTATCCGTCCACACAAGCTATTCAATTATATCTCTTATTTATAGCCTGCAGTAAGCCTGTTAGTGCATTTGCAATGATATTTGACCTTTTTATTTTTTTTTCAAATCTTGAATGGAATGTGGGGGTCACAGGAGTCTGTGAAGGTTAGTGATGAATGAAAAGATTTTATTAAAATTTAATTTAAGAAGTGGAGAAAATGGATTGAAAGGCGTCATGCAAAAGGTGTTTGGGATATTTCTAGCTTAGCAGCAATGTTACATATTTTTCAAATGTCTTATGCTATTAACATATTTTTTATTTTTTTATAAATGTGATTTTTAATTCTTATTCCTGTCTAAAGTTACGTTATTTTTCTCTCTCCACCCTCCGAGCAAGTCTACAATCATATTTTAATTTAAATTTTTCTTCTTTTTTTTTTTTTTTTTAGTTTGAATTTGAACACCTTTGTCCGATAATAGTTGCTACATTTTCATATGCATTTCAAATACTAAATGTAGCAAATGTTATGGGACAGAAGTAACTTTTTTTCATTTTGTTTCTTGTGGATGTGCAGATGGTGTAATGGATTGCAGGTCAGAATGAGATATCTGAGAGCTGGGTTCGATTTTCCAGTCTGGTGTGTTGCATTCTCTTATATGCAAATACCTAGGTTTTAATCGAACTCATTCACTCCAACTATGACTTAAATATTAGGAAAAAACTGTTAATGCAGAAAAAAGAAAAAATAATTATTTTTACAATCCACAATATGTTTTGAGATTAAATAATCCGCAAAGGGTAGATAAGCCAAGAGAGAGAAAAAAAGCAATCAATTCTTTCTTGTTTAATTTTTTAAAAAGCTTTTAATTTGACTTACTAATTAACTTTGGCATTTCACCTCTGCCATGAACTGAAGAAAGTGATGAGAAGGCTACTGTTTAATTGAGATCTGAGGAAACTTGTATCAATTACAAGTAATTTCAGTTAGTGAACTTGTTTTTGTTTCATTTTAGGTGTCTGAACGTGCACTGGAAGTGTGGGAATCTGAGGAAAACATTGAACAGGCCAAGGACCAGAAGTGTGAAAAGCAAAACAAAATGAAAAAGAAGAAATTTGAAAAGAAAATGAAAGGTTGATCTTTGTATTTATTTTTTTTTCCTTTTTTCAAGGTTTTTTTTTTTTTGTTGCTTCACATTTATATATCTGATAGAACGGAAACCTCATATGTGTGTGTGTGTGTGTATATAATTACTAAAATGGTGTTTATTTACTACTGCAGTTTCACCCTTTTTTATGTTGAACAAAGATAAAAGCAAATTACCTGTAATTTAGGAAACCACCTGATAGTATTAGGTGGTTACCATACTTACACATGAGAGTTCCCATGGAAGAGGTTGCTTTGATGATCCCAAAATCCAAGGAAGATAAGCTAAAATGGAAAGTGAGTGAAGCACTAGAAAATGCCTAGTTGCCTGAATCAAAAATCACAAGGGAAAAAAAGTTGGCAGTGAGAACCTTAGAAAGTGAGACTAGTATAATTATACTACCATAGCAACACTTCAGTGGTGATGGACAAGTTGAAATGCTCTCCAATAATTAGCAAGCTTAGCTGGGAATGGTAGATATAGCCAAATGAAAATGGATCCAAACCTAAAAACTAAGAGGAAGATGTCACAGGTCCAGAACAATGACTACTTCACAGTGAATATGTATTGACAGCGAATTCAACATTAAACAAAGGTGACATTTTTTTAAGAATTGTGTGCAAAATTGTTCAGAGTGTTATCCATTTTCAATCATTTAGTTGTGTTACTGCAAATTGTTTGTAAGTTGATGATACATAGGATCCAACTCTAAAAATTGAGAGGAATTTGTTACAGATCCTAAATAAAACAAGGACTACTTCACACTAAATAAGTATAGACAGTTGACTCAACATTACACCAAGCTGCCACACATGTGTATGGTCTACCCAAGATTCACAAAGTTGATATTCTATTGAGACCTATAGGTAGATGTAGGGGTTCAGCATGTCACTCACTGAGCAGATTCCTAGTAGATATAGTCAACTCACATGTCCTATCTTAGAAACACAGAACATGTTGTGAAATGGATCTAAAGTGCTTTCATCCATACAAAATTAGATTGTAAATCTGTATGTGGTGAGAATGCTCACTAAAGTTCCTCCAGAGAAAACTTTGACAATGGTTCAAAATGACTAGAAGCAGACCACTCCCTGGGAGAATGTACTAACATTCCAATAGAAAATCTGATGGAAATGTTGGCATCTTGTTTACAGACAATATTCTTCCCACTAGAGTCTGACATATATCTACATGAGGAAGCCTTGGCTATGGGTTCACCACTGTCACCAGTGATGGCAAATATACACATGAAATACTTCAAGGAAATGGCTATAGGAACAGCACCAATAAAGCCAACAGTATGGCTGAGATACATAGATGACACCTTCATATTCTGGCCACCCCAAGAAGCTGTACAAATACTGCTGGACTATGTGAACTCAATAAGAGTTTTGATCCAGTTCACGATGAAAGAAGGAAATAATAATCAAGTATCATTCCTGAATGTACTATTAACTCACACAGAGAATGGGTTCACGATATTTGTATATCACAAGTCAACCCTTATTGGGCAATAGCTAAACTTCAATTCCCACTATCCATACAGTGTATCAAAGCAACACCAGGCAAAAATCATGTGAAAATCCAGACACATGCCAAAAAGAAATGATCAGCATCAAGCATACCTTTCAGAAAAACAACTACCCTGCAGACATAACATCAGCATCTGCAGGTGAAAACAGAAAGATCAAGGAGGAGCACCAGAAAATTTCCACGGTCTGTCTGTCTAATCTCAAGGCATTATTGGAAAAGCTGGTTCATAAAACCTAATACAGGAGAATATCGCCAAGAACTATGTGTAGTTAATTCCTTGCAGTTGTGGCAAAGAATTGAAAAGCCGTAACAAGCGGAGAGACAATGAAATCAGCTATGGCTTATCATGTATGAAGGGAAAAGAGTAGTCATCACCCCTGTAGAATGAAGTAAAAATAATGGACAAGGAAGAACACTGGAGAGAGACACGCATGAAAGAATCAGCACATATGTTATGAGGACCTCCTTAGTAATGATAGCATATAAACAAATATGATGCCGGAGCTTCTAATAAAGAAGGATTTCTCTGCAGAGTGGAGTTTCTTCTGAATATTGTCCTGATGTTGTATGGGCTGCAGATCTGAATCTTTTCTGGAGAAGGTTAACTGAACAATACCTCAATTTCAGTTCCACTATCCATAAAGTTTGAAGGAATTGATCATCTGATGCCTAAAACACTGGTCAAAATCATGTGTTGACCCAGACATATGCCAAAAAGAAATGATCAACATCAAGCGTACTCTTCAGATTAACAACTACCCTGCAACCATAGCATCAGCATCAACAGATGAAAGCAGAAGGGTCAAGGAGGAGAACCAGAAAATTCCTATGGTCTGTCTGCTTACGTCAATAGCTTATCAGAAAAGATTCAGAAGATCTGCAGGCTATAAAACATCAGGACAATTAGCAGCTTCGCTCTACTGAGAAATCTCTGCTTAACATTGGGGAGAATGTGACCGAGAACTGTGTGTATTCCATTTCTTGCAGTTGTAGCAAAGAATAGTGAAACAAGCTGCTTCCAAAAAGTAAGCCTGGAGGCACATCAAAAAGCTGTAGTGAAAGGTGAGATAATGTCATTGGGTATGGCTGATCAAATATGGAGGGAAAAGTGTAGTCATTAACCCTTTAGCATTCAACATGCTCAAACCTGCCAGGTAAATATTATCTCTCAACATCTCACTGTTTGCATTTCTTGCATTATTTGTGATGATGTCATTATATATTTTGACAGCATATACATGGGGAAGGTTACAACAGCTTGAACATTGAGAGATATCTACAGTGTCAATTTGGGTAGGGTGAATGCTAAAGTGTTAAGATACTGATACTAATTCTGGAAAAAAAGACTATAAGAATGTTGCAGCAAGTGAAATTTAGATTCACTATTCAATTATTCTCCATGGCAAAGTACCATTTCTGTTGTTTATTTCATATATATATATATACTTTCTTTGCCTTTTTATTTATTCTATTTTTATTTGACCAACTATTATTATTGGAAGTTGCTTTTTAATCTTTCAACTTAAGATTTGTTTAACTAATTTTTTACTAATCTGCATTTGCCAAAACATTTCATTATGTTCCAATTAGGAATTGAGATTCATTACAAAAGGTCAAAGAACAATCAGCAAAGATTTGGCATTGATTTTTTTTTTTTAACTCATCAAAGTGCAAATGAATTCTTCTGCGGCCAGACTGCTTTAATTAGTATGTCACTGTTTTCAAGTTGTAAATGTTTTCAACTAATTTACAGGTCTGCAAATATATTGGCTACTCAATCAATTGTTTCATGTCTGACATGATCCTGTAACAATTCCACAGAATGAAAGACAATTATATTTTTTTTTTTTGAATTCGAATAAGATCATCCCTACCCAACTCCACAAAAAGTTTTTGAAATATGAATAAGTTTATTTCCATTCTGACATTTTCATAGTAAATTTGAAGCCTCTTAAACAGTTTAAGTGTTAATATGTAATTATATCATTTAACAAATTTATATATGCATATGTTGTAATGGAATGTCCCAAACTCCCTATCACCTATTGTGGACTGACTTTATCAGTAGATATATATAGTGAGCTCAGTATATACCTGGTAACTTGCTTCGGAACTTGCTAGCCTGCTAACTGATTCCGTCTTTCAGTAGTGCATTCTCTTTTACAATAAAACCTTTCTTTCTTTTATCCATGCCTATGTTGCTGTTCCTTTCACTCAAGTACTACCTTTGTCTGTTTGTAACCTCTTTTAAAGATACAACAGTATATATAATAGTATAATATATATTTTAATAAGTAATTATGTAATTTAACAAATATTTATCATCAGAAGTTCAATATTTGTTTTCCTTGTTTTTCAGTCTTTTGTTTCCACTTTGGTTTTGAACATTGCAGACAATATTTTCATTGTTTTTTTTTCTCAGGTGTATTTTGCATCTGGCAGTCACTAAAAGTGACTTGGTACTTTTCTATTTTATAAACTCCACTTTCAAAGAGTTTCAACATGATTGTTTCATAATCTAACTTCTCTATTGAATAAATAGCTATCTATGACTTTTTTAACATACCAAATAGATCTTTAATGAAATAACACAGCTCCTGAAGAAAAGCAGAATACCTAGCAGATCAAATTCCATGGGATTCAAATATTATGTAATAATATGTTGGCATGTCATTAAGTCAAAGGTGTCTTTGGTATGACGATAAACTACATCCATATCCTGGGTAAGAGGATCAACTACATTCAACAGCAAGGACTCTAATCAGGAGGTTTTGAGGAGTGTGGAACCACCTCTTAATTGCTGCTGACAAGGAAAATTATTACCAACAATACATTTTTTGAAAAATTGACCTTACTGCCTGAATCATTTGTTTTTATAAATCCACTGTTGTGTTTTTACAGAACTCCGGATGACTGTACGAGGTAGTTTGTGGCGCAAACAGACAACAATGCATGAACATACTTATGGTGAAGAAACATACGATGAAGAAGAAGAAACATACTCCAAGACATGTACCACATGCAGCCATGTGATGAGCTATGAGAAGATGTAACTTAAAGAAATCACATCATGCTCTCTCAACCAATAAAATGCAGTGTGTCATGCATGAAATAAATTGTTTAGAATATATATATATATATATATATTTATATATATATATATATATATATATATATAATTGCAGGGTGCCCCAAAAATTTGACATCATTTTAAAAGCAAATACCTTGAAAACTACTAAGTCTAGCTCAATGAAATTGAACAGTTTAGATGTTGAACATCATAAGTTTATTATGGGACCAATTTCATAAGTGTTCAATATATGAACCGCCTATGACACGGCACATGTCAAGTCGGTAGTTAAGCTCTTGCCAAACACGTTGTAGCATGTCTCCGGTAACATCATCCAGTATGGAAGTGATTCTCTGCTTGAGTTCATCAATACTAGCAGGAAGAGTGGGGGTGGGGGTGCATAGACGAGTCCCTTCACATATCCCCATAAAGAGAAATAATGCAGGGACAGGTCTGGTAACCACAGCGGCCATTTCATCAGAAAACTCTCTTCATCGCCACCACACCCGATCCATTTCTCTTGCATATTCTCATTGTAATAACAAAAATAAAACATTAAATATAAAATCTTGATTTGTTTTCATATATTCTGTGAAAATTTGAGATTATTTCAACAAGAATTGCCAAAATTATTGGCCTGTGAGATGATGTCAACGTTTCTGGAACACCCTGTGTATATATATATATATATATATATATATGTGTGTATGTATAACTGTAATTCTTATACTTAATGCGTACATGTGTTTGAATGAACATCCCTTTTTTGCTTTGTTAAACTGGGAAATTATTTGAACGTCTTTAAAGATTAAAATTAATTGAAAGCCTTTAAAGATTAAAATTCTTTTTAAAGATAATATGCCTCTTGACAGGAATGAAACTGCTATTCCTTTTAACCCTGGAAACGAAGCCTGGTGTGATTCATCACTTAAATATAAGAAGCCATTCGAGTGAGCTTTACTTTGCTATAATGACTTCTCATAGCCAAATAGTAAAACACTCCTGGTTAAATGTTGTTTCCAAGGTTAAAGGCAATACAGGTTTGATTCCTGTTTAAAGGCATATTTGTGGATGCTAATTTTGCCTTTTAAAACCTAAAAAATAAAGATGTCTATGCAAATGCAAATACACAATAAGTATAATGCTTATAGTAACAAGAAATAATGATGATTAAAAAATATATTGTTTACATAATGTGTGTGTGTGTGTGTGTGTGCAGGTGTCCCTTTTATTAGGATAACCACCTTAGCATTATGTTGACACATCTGCTGCCAGTGCCCGTTCATGGGCTCTGGACTGACTTTGAAAACCAGAGGAGGTTTTTGAAAAAGAAACTCTATTAAACTGCTGACAAACTTATTTTTGTCTCTATATTTGTCCCATGTTTTCAGGATTGATATTACAATGGGTGGAAACAAATATTCATACACCTACAAATTTTTAATTGTATTTCAAACTAATGAATAAACATACTTTTCATATAAATAACTGTAGACAGATGCATAATAACTACATATGCATAGAAAACAGAAAAAAATTTGCTTTAATAAATCCCATTTATCCATTTTAATGGGTGAAAAAAGTATTCGTACAATGCAAACTTCAGATTTTAAAACTTTTAAATTGCCTTAATACTCTAGATTACTCAAATGAAATATTCTAGAATGTTTCAATACTGTTATCAGCAGTTATTTTTAGCCTACAAGATACAAACAGAACATTCTGTAATTGATATTCATGCAAGAAAGTTTTCATCATGGCAAGAGGTAAAGAATTGACAAATTTGCAAAAAGAACTGATTGTTAAGCTGTGGAAAGATGGTATAAGTTACAGGAAAATCTCAGACAACCTGAATATCGCATTTACTCCCATTAGTTGATTCATTGCAAACTCAAAACTGTTGAAAACCAAAGAAGAACTGGTGCTCCATGGAAGATTTCTGCAAGATCTTTGAGGAAATTAATGCCTCAAATTAAACAAAATCCAATGGTTACTCATCAAGTGTTGCAGGATGATTTCCTTTCATCAGGAATCTGTGTCACGAAATGGACAATAAGCAATGAAATTCATAGGAACAATCTAAAATCACGCTTTCCCTGGAAAACTCCACTGCTATTGAAAAGAGACACAGATGACAGGTTGAAATTCATTTGTGAACACAAGGATAAGGAAAACTTGTATTCGGAAAGGCTATTATGGACAGACAAAAACAAAATTGAATTGTATGAAGGAAAGATGGCAATGCCTTCAAACAAAAGAACACAGTTCTAACAGTGGAATTTGGTGGTGGCAGCAGCATCATGGTTTGGGGATGCTTTTCTGCAAAAGATATGAGAAATATATCAGCAACAGATGGTAGAATGACTGCTGCAGCATATCAAAATATTTTGGAAGCAAATTTAATGATTTCAGTTGAAAATCTTGAACTTCCTGATTGGATCTTCCAACAAGATAATGATCATAAGCACTCTCTAAAATCTACCTATTTTATTTTCAAGTCTTTTTTTCACTGCTCATTGGACTGTCATAGCTGAAATTCCTCTCTCACATGCCAAACATCTTATGGATTGAGTGTGATCTTTTCAAATTGATCTCTTTAGCTCAAAGTTGAAATTATGATCCCTCTTCTGATTGTGACATACTGATCCAGTTTTCCTCTCTACTCTTCCCTCTTTTTTAAACTTATTCACCATTCTCTCGATGGTACTTGAATATTGGTACCATTACTGAAGGTCTGAATGATACTTTCCTCTTACCATTGCTCAGACATAGTGGGGCTGACACAAAAACGATTTTAATCTGTTCTTTTTCTAGCTGAATAACTCAAAGGACTTTTCAATGTTTCTTATGATATAAAACATTTTGTAGGATGGACAATTATTCTTTGCTGTCACACAATTTGGACAATTTTACTATTACACCCGATATATACTGGACTCCTCCATCTTTTTTGACGTATGAGGGGTCAGCCACTCAGAAACAGATGGCCAGAATATTCGCACATATGATTTGATTATTGCTCATTTGGGAAGACAGTGGGGCTGACACAAAACGATTTTAACCCGTTTTCTTTCTAGCTGAATAACTCAAAAGGTTTTGCAGTGATTTTTATGACATGATATAAAGGTTGCTAAATATTTCATCTAGAAACTTGGAAAAAAGAAACTCAATTAGTTTAGTGTTTTTTTTTCTTAGATAATATTTTGTGGGATGGATAACTATGCTGTTAAATGATTTGGACAACTTTGCTGTTGCACCCGGTGTGTATGTGTGTATATATATATATATATATATATATATATATATATATATATATATATATATGTGTGTGTGTGTCAATGCAAATAAAAACCTGATAAAGTTCTACAGAGGATAAACCATTTGTAAAAACCTAGTGAGCCAGAACCTACCTACCAAGGTTTCACCTAACAGATCTTCAGCCTGTTATATCCTGAAAATCTGTTAGGTGAAACCTTGGTAGGTAGGTTCTGGCTCACTAGGTTTTTTAGATTTTGCTCTACTTAGTGTATTGAGCACTTTTATGTTTTTACTTAATTTATTGTGATAGTGTTTTTCTTTTGACTACACATTGCGGTGCTGAGTGATTATTTTTGGCCATCACAGATGTCTTTTCTTTTTGCACTGAATTTTTTTCCATGATATCAGTTTGTTCAAATCTATTTTTATTTCCAAATTGTATTATCCAGGTATTTTTCACACTACCCAAGTATAACTATTAAAATAATACATAATATATATATATATATATATATATATATATATATATAATATGCACCTCAGCATATTTTTTTTGACAAGATTTCTTGAATATTCAGGCCAGTTAGATGTAGTTGGATAAAAACAACTGTTAAATTAAAAACAGGGCTTCTACTCGAATATGAGTATCCATCAAAAATAACGTTTAAACAGAGTAAATAAAAAATAACAATATGCTTGATTTAATCCATTTCCTAAAAATAAATAGCCTTTGTTTACATTAGGATATGATACAGGGCATATATATGGATTTTTTGTGAAATGGACGAAAGTGTGTGTTCAAAAGGCACAATTAGGACTTTGTTTGACTGGAAGTCCTACATGGTCGAGTGGTTAGGCACATTAGGTCCAATGTTGTTTTCCCCCATAGAGTACACAGGTTCAATTCCGGTCAAATAACACATTTTTCTGGCAAGATTTCTCAAATATTCAGGCAAAGGCTAGCAAAAATACAACACACCTGGCCTGACAATTGTGCTTAGCATGAAATATAACAATATATAATCTTGTATAATTTTATATGTCAACAAACCTTATTTAGAAAAATTGTAAAAAGTTTTCCTGACATGTTTATCTGTTAGGATTTCATCATTTTATGTGCATGTGTAAACATGACAACATCTACATAGCCCAGTTAGATGAAATTCTAATGGATGAAATGTGTCACAAAAAGTTTTCTAATTTGCCATACTATTTTTTTAAATGTATGTGTTTATTTAAAAATGTATAAATGTGTATCATATGTATATATATATGTATGTGTGTGTGTGTGCATGTGTGTATATATATATATATATATATATATATATATATATATATATATATAATTGCTCTAAATTTTCATTTTTGAAAACTATTGAGTACTTTTTCATTAAGTTTGATTTATTGAAATATACATACATGCACAAAAAACAGAAAATGATTGGTCTGATTACAAAAAAACTTCTAAAATATTCTGATGTTTCGCCATTTTGTCAGATTATGAGAAGTGGGATTTTTCTGAAATTTTCAGTACTCTCATATATATATATATATATATATATATATATATATATATATATATATATATATATATGTTTATTTGGGGAAAAAGAAATGTGCCATTTGCATCTACCCTTTTATCAGTGGGAATTATATCTTGATTTTCATTTTTCATAGAGGACCAATATGATCCTTAGACTATATGGCCAGTGATAAAATATAGTA